AAGAGGATTTGAGAACCACAGTGGAAATAACCTCCGACTTTATGCCTCCAACTGTCAACAACGAATTGCCTTATAAAGTACTGTTCCATAATAGAGAGGACTGGATCCTCCGGGAGAAGGAAATATTAAGAGCAGATAGTTGTTGGTACACAGATGTATCANCATTGGGCAATTGAGTGTATAATAATTTTATGAAATTGTGAAAACACAGATCAGAGGATTTCCCTGTAAATTATTATACACGAAAAACTTGGTTTGTTTTTTTAGACATTATTCCCTTACTTAGATCCGCCACTGTGTAAGGTAAATACCAAATGGCATTGTCTCAAATTGATACCAAAAAACTTAGTTTATATTATGAAGTTTTGAGACAGCAAGTGTGAAATACATAATGTTAATGATACTTCCTTGACGGTGAAGCTATAGTCAGCCGACCCTGAAAATAGATTACACTGTTTTGAGAATCGATAAACCAGATGGGTTTGATTAATTTTTTTCACGCCAACGCATAATAACAAAAAAATAATGTGGAGTGACGCTGTTATTTCGGTAAAATGTTTTTATATCCTATATGTTACGAGAATGTAAAACAGGATGAAGATAGGAGATATGTCTCTATAGTGAAAGTCAAAGTTGTCAATTAGCAGTGATTCCATCATAAATAATTTTACTAACGCTGAAATGGCTGATATGCACTTTATTCATGGATTAGCAAATGGAAATGCGGAAGAAGCACGGATAATTTACCAGGACAGATATCTTAAGAGAGTAATTCCATGTTAAGACATGCAGAATGCTGTATGCGAGATGATGTGAAACTAGGAGTTTTTATAAAACTGCAGGTGGTGGAAGACCAGAAACTGTAACAAGGCCTGAACTACAAGAAGCTATACTTGATGCGATAGAAGAATATCCTTCAAATAGTACCAGCTGGAAGTCAGCCCAAAAAATATACGGACAGTTCTAAAAAGAAACCTCCTATATGCATATCACATACAGCGGGTCCAAGCTCAAGTGCCTCGGGTTCATGCACGACGGGGCTCCAGCTCATTTCAGTGTTCATGCTCTCACTATCTCGTCATCATCATCCTAATCGCTGGATTGGACGTGCAGGACCAAAATTGGCCAGCTCGCAGTCCTGATATGAATCTTCTACTAGATGTGAATGGCTTGAGTAATCGAATAATTGACAATTGAAATGTCATAAAGAATACTCCAGGTATTTTTGAACATGACAATGACAAATCGATTGCAGTAGTGGATTTTATCAGAAGGGGGATATTTTGCTCATTTACATCAAGGTCGAAATTGTTCATTATTCACTTTTTATTTTCATTTTATGTTGTCCATGGATAGTTTTCAGAAGTGATTTTTTTTCTAAAAACCAAGCTTGATGTGAAGAAAACACGAGCGACGAAAAAGTTGTATTTTCAGTTGCTTAATCTAAAAACTTAAAAACTACAATAAAAGGCAGTGGCGTTCTTTTTTCTCAACATTGTTGGCTGTGGTACCAATGAGACGCCACTGGACCTAATAATTTCATTCTAGTTCAGGCTAAATAAGCGCCCTATTACTTCATCACATTCTCGAACCATCAGTCCACCCTTTCGTAACTGTGTCGTGAGTGTCATACCAAGTTTCGTCAAAATAGAAAATTTGCCGTTGTTCTTGTCTATATTTAGTTATTTGTTCTAAGCATTTGTGACGCAATTCCACTATTCTTCTGCTTTCCATAGCTGTTTAACGTCCGTTTATTATTTTAAATCTAAATCCTAGTTTCTTTATCCAATTCTGAAGAGTTTTGTCACAGCAGCTCACGTTATGGCCGGAAGTAGTCAATTTCTTTCTTATGATTTCAGTTGTAGGAATCTCATTGCTTTTGTAACAGTTTGTTTTCTTTATGATTTTATTAGATGAACATCTAGAGGTTTTGGTAATCTCGTATCATATCGCGTCTTGCGTTCATAAGGTTTGTTTTTGACTATTTTACGTACAGTTGAGAAAGGATTTTCGGTCAAATCTGATGTTGTTTGTAATAGTTTGTTTCCCTCGAAACCAAACTTGAGATGTAAATTCTTATGTACATTGAAACATACTCTGTGTGTTTCAATATTCAAATGCATCCGAATCTTATTCACTGGTATCTCTTTTTCGCATTGTTCACCATCGCTATTGGGATCACTACACAAGAAAAAGTCTGCGTTGTTATCACACTCGTTATTACTATTAGTACTTGTCCAAGGACGCCACATTTCAAACAGATAACAAAAGTTTTAAGTTATTATAACTGCACCAATATCGAATTTCAACACTCAAATCGCGATAAGTTCCTGAACTGAGCATTGACAACACGCCGGGTATGAATATCCTCGCATTCTATTCGTCACCATAACATGACTTCAAATTTAATTTTTTCAGCCAATCATAAAACTCAGTTAGTAAAAATTATACAATACGAACCGCCAATTCTTTAGTCCACCTGGAATAGTTGGCAACGGCATCATTTGTTTGTATCGGTTTTTTTGGCCTTTGAGTTCGCCGATAGCTTTTACTATTCACAATACCGGTTACTTCGACTCTACATGGGATGTGTCTTCCCCGCTTGGGGCTTTGTTCACGAGATGAAGCTGTTACTAGTTAACAATATTTCTCTTAAACGAATGTTTCATACAACAGTACTCCATCTCCAATATTCTTAACGTAACGTGTTTGCGAGCTTCGTTTAAAAAACAAATTGACAATTCCATTCACTACGAACCCTATATTTTTATCCTAATCCAAACTCAGTTCCTCAAAATGGCAAGTTCAACTCAATCTATGGCAAAAAAAGTTCATAATGAAATGTTCGTCTATAGTTACTCAAGTTAGAAATATCTGTATGCCGTGATAAATGGGTTGATTCGTGAAAAAGGCGTCGTCACCCCGTTTTCGGCGTCGCGATGGCTATCACTCGAATGTTGTAGGGATCGAGCGGGGTTGATTAAAACCTGAGATGTCGAATTCGGTTGATGAGGTCGAAGAGGCCAAGAAGAAGTGACAATTCACTTCCAAAGTGGAATTTAGTTTGTTTTTTGAATAATTGTTTCGTGATTTTCTGAGCTGATCAAAATAATATTAGCAAAGGGGCCGTTGGATGCAAGGAGAACATAGGCATCGACAGACGTATTGAACTCGACTCAATACAATATAATTATAACCTCTCTATATCCTGGATTGACTACTGCAAGGCATTTGATACAACATCACATGAGCACATCTTGCATTTTCCAGATGCCTCCGACCAAGTATATAGTGTCTTGAACAACTGATGCTACTTTGACAGACTCGCTTTACCACAACATCTGTCAAGCTAGTGTCCGAACAGAAAGGGAGTATTTCCCTCGTCTCCATTTTTTTCGACATCTCACTTTTACCATTATCCTTTGTGCTCATTGAAACTCAGGTGCTAGGAGACCAGACACTGGGGGTATAAGACCACTCAATTATTTTATAAGGGTGATCTTGAATTTTATTGCTCTGGAGAGAAAGGATCTCCATCAGTCCTTAGGAGTGGTGGAACAGTACCCACATGCTATCGGTATGGAATTTGGGATAGACAAATAAGCAACAGTACATCTCAAAAGATAACGATGTGGGAATTGCCGAAAGGATGTGCAGCTTATGGTGAAAGCATTCTATACCTTCTGCACAAAATCCTACAGATCCGGTGTTGCTATTACGTTTCAACAATCTTGAAGATTTCTTATCAAAGCACCTGATGTTTGCTTTTCTCACGCTGGGCAGACTAAATTCGGAAAATGAGAAATTTTTCATAACCTATCAAGATGGCAACACTCTAGTCTACCGTAGTCGTGTGATGGGTAAAGAGGCTCATGACACCAGATGCATGGTCTGTTGCGTGAAATCCGAAACATTTATTAATTTGCTGTCGGTGGGTCCAGTATTCATCCATCGACATAACATGGCCTATAAGGCTGTCATTCTTGGTGCATTGCATATTCTCAGGGAACATGCTTCTCGGTTCGAGTGATCACTTGCCCCTTGATGTTGGGAGTGGTAATTAGCTGCACACGGCATGCACTCTATAGAGTCGGAGATTTGGGGAACCTTCATAATTTGTACAGTAAATAGACAAAATATATTTTTATATTTTACATTTACTATCAATAAATCATATTGTAGGGCTAGTATTTTTGGAGGAAAATGTAAAATCTCTGTATCTGAATATGCTGAAAAATAAACAAGCACTGCTCCCAAACACCAAAACTGCAAAACTTTCACAAACTATGTTGGCGAAATGCGCATCTGTTCTTTACCATAATAACCCAGGAGTGTCATATAATAAGTATAGCCAATATGAAAGCCTAATATATAAATAGTTGAAGTTTCTGTTCTACATTTTGATGTGTGAACTTTTTTTTATCTGTTCAAGATGAAAATGATCAACCATCGCTTTTTGGCATAAAATCATTTATTTCATGCTTCAGATGTATTTTCCTCAGTTAATGTGTATTTGGAAGTTGTTAGTAAGGTATCTTCTTAAAAATCAATATCTACTTTCCTCTAACCCAATCTAAAAATATTGCTACACCACTGTGAATTCAACTGCATTCTGAGAATGTGACCTCTGGTGACTTTTCTTTTGATCTTATCCGATAACATCCATGAAACACTTTATTTTTAAACTGTAGTTTTGAAATATGGGTGAAAATTATTCAGAAGTTAGATGACAATAGGTTCTGATTCACCCACACAGTAATGATTAAATAAGAGAATTATCTTAGAAACCTTATCATTTGGGGTCATCTCATGAAATAAGATATATTTGGTAGGTAAGAATGAAATTAAAAAAAAGATTTTTTTTTCAGCGATGCTACTAACCATGCTGAATCTGTGGCTATTTTTAAGTCAGGTCTTGCTGTGTATCAATAACGCAATCAACTATTAGCGAAGTTAACTACTCACTAAATTTCAAGAAAGTTTTTTCATTATGTACTTACTGGCATTCATTCATGATCTCCTCCTGACTCCTCACTTGAACGGGGGCCAACTTTTCCACGGATTCTTCATAATTTCCGAAACACTTGGTTATTTTGTCGTCGAAGGTGTTCACCAAATCCTCCAATGACCCAGAGAATGTTTCAGTAAAGTTATCCGCGACGGATTGCGTCTCCCCATTCTTTAAAATGATGGTCTTCTGGGGTATGCTCAACGGCAGGGAGTTATTGAGGATGTCTTCATTGAAATCGTTTAAAACGTCGTTTATATCCTGCTTCTTTTTGTTGTAGTTAATGTTGTTGATGTCGTTTTCGTTTTTCATATTCGCGGTTTGGAATTCCGTGGAGCCCCATTCGTCAGATTCCTCGAATTGAGCCAAAGGGGCTTCGAATTTCAACTCAGCCATTTTTGTGGCCAAATCACGCATTGCGAACCACACTCTAAGCGTACAACACCCTGTCACAGCTTCCTGTGGCCCCGACACTACGCACTCTGACCTGACAAAAATCGCACATCAGATAATCGACCTACACACTAACACTGACAGAAGGATAATGCGTCATTTAAAAATGTGTAAATGTGAGGGCGTCCTCTTTTGGTCATTTAAAAAGTCAGTGTACACCATTGCCAAGTTGCATCCCTTTTCGAGAAATTGGGCGACATCTAGTTTTATATTTCTAACATCTAACGTTGTTACAAAATTTGTATTTGTATGTTCCAATATTCATTTACGAAAATGTAAAACAAGCTGATAAATAAAAATAATATTGTACAATAAGACAGTGTGAATTTACAGCTTTCACCAAGATCGGAAACTAACAAATGCAAGGAAATTTATACTCAAAATGAATAGATCAATCAACAAATGTAAAATGTAGATGTTTACAGTTTGTGTATATATGTATTAGAATGTATTGAGGAATTTTTCGATAACCTCTTATATTTTAGATATATCAGACTAAGAAGCTAAGATGATTCAAAAAAGATAATTCAATTTATAAAAATTTCTAGTATTTTTTAACGATATGATGTCATAACATCATTCATCCACTTCAGTCGTTGGCAATATCCTGATCTCACTTCGTGGGGAGGAAATTTCAACGAAAATTTTCAAAGGTGAAAGACTAAATCCTCTACATCACCCAAATATCACTGAAAACTTCTGCGATCCACTATCATCGTTCAAAAAACGAATCATTTCAGCCAATAATATTTTATTCACTAGGAGAGAGAATTTTGTTAAAATAGTAACATTTAAACATTGCAGTACTGCAATGCATTTAAACAATGCAGTACTGTTTATGTTTTTATATTTGCTGCGTTCTGCGATATTCAACTATGGAGTTTCGAAAGCAACAAGGAACCACGATATGTTAAAACAGGTGACAGGCCTTTGTCAATATTCTGTGTTTCTGTTTTACCATCCGGCTTAGTTTGAATGTATCCGATAGATGTCTCTATATGAATAATTTCCATACAGTATCATTCCATTCCTCCAGCATCCATGAATGAACTACATATATATTTCACGATACAAATGATATCCTTAAATGTATATATTCAGTTATTTCCCAGCAAACACATCTGTCTGAATTTCGCAAAAATTTGCAAAATTTTGTCAAGCGTGGCGGTCACGCATCAAATTTCGATACGATACGAATATTTTTTTGAATTGTCAATTGCATTTGACACCTTTCACCTCACCAGATGTTTTATTATACGTTCTGGGATATTTATTAACGATCTCATGTGGAAAGGTCACACAAAACTATGCAGATGGTAACACAATGACAATTACTGCAGCCACAATAAAAATGTACCGATATTTGATGAAAATCCATCATAACGTGTTCAAAAAACACAGTTTAATGTGGTATTTCTACTTGAAAGTAGCGGTTGGCACGACAGCTGTTGGCAGCGACACGTTCCATCGTTGGACGTGGCAATAATCTGAATAATATCCTCAGTTCGACTTTTATTGGTCGTCGTTTGTAGCGGGCGACAACTGGTTAACGTCACTTATATCGTATAATTTTAAGTATATACAATTAGGGCAAGCGCACACTACAGACTTTTTATCGGCCGATAGTTTAGTTGGATGCTTATTATAGGATTGTAATGAGTCCGCACATCTAAGCGATTTCAGTCGGCCGACTGAATAATCAGAAACAAGTTGGATTGGCTTCCCAATTGTGATTTAATTACAAAGTTGGACAACTATCGGCCGAGTTTTAATCAGACTGTGTGTTTATGAGAGTGCGCAGACTCACCAACTAAACACTCTGTGCCTGCAGACTCCCCNAATAATATAAAAATATAGACACAACGACTTATAAAACGACTCTACAACAATGGCCGCGCCTGCTCCTCCAACTAGCAGCGGACGAAATGTTAATAGTTCTTTAAATAACCGCTTGAGGATATTGTGCCCATCTCACCTCACTGCCCATCTCTCCTCGAATTACCCTATACCCAATATTAATTTTGTAGGACTTTGGATGCTTTGATTTCATTTCAATTATAATTTACATTCATACAGGGAGGAACGGACGCAACAGGATGAGTGAATTAGAAAATTCACAAGTTTCCTTTCCTTTATTCATCTTCGAATGATTCTTGATCATTGTCACAAAATATCAAAACTAATTAACCCTCTTATGCATGATTCTCAGCAACGACTCATGTCTTTCCTGAGAATTCGAGATATATATATATAATCTTAGTCCTCACAAAGCACATATTACTGATGAAGTCTGCCTTAGTAGCAGACGAAACTGGGTTTCGTCTTCAGGTTTCATTTGGCAACGGCTTAACAGCTTGGATTTGGTTCTCTTCAATATATTGAAACTGACACTATAACAACTGGTTTTTACGAACGAATATAATACCAGTGGTCTCTAACGTCATAAGGTTCGTTCCAACCAGCGTCAGAAACAGTTTCTGACAGTCAGGATTCTGCGCAGTAATGTGATTGCGTTCCAACGTGAGTTTCCAACCATTAGTAAACTATCAGTTTTCTGTTCCATCCAAGATTCAAACCTGTTCGAAATCTGTCAGAATGGTTTGAGGATTATCATCTAACCATTAATCTGACGCATGCGTATTCCGTATAACTGTTTCTGTTTTATTTTCATGCAACTTGTAAACAACATAACCTGCAAACATTGTTATAAAATAAATTATGTATTTGCTGGCGCAGAAAAAATTAGGAATTCTTTAAGTGAACTTGAAATATGAATATCTTTAATTACACAAATTAATTATTGCGGTGACCTTCCAGTTCCATGTTGATTAGTAAATAGAATAGAGATATAAAATACTGCAACCTTCTTTTACTCTCCAGAAATACACTTGATTAGATTTATTTTTTAAGGTTATGTTGAAATTCCATGCCAAACTTCAGTTGAACTATCAGCTGTTCCAATCAGAAATTTCAAATTAATCAGAAACCAATATTTACCAGACATGCGTGTTGACAACGATTTACAAACAGTTGGAAATCTGTTTGTGACTCAAGGTTGGAACGAACCTATAATAACCGATTTTGACTATCTCCCATCTCCAGTCTATCCAGTGTTTTTTCTAAGAATTGCACCAAGTTCAATTCTTGTAAAGATTTTTCATTGAATCTTACCAAATTACTTGTTTCATGCTTTATATAGTAGGTAGCCTGAGGTTGGGATCAAAGATGAAAATAAATACAATTTTTTTCAACTGAAACTCTCGTGATGCATAATATTTTTATTCATTCAACTAGCACCTGCTTATTTACGACATACAAAGTGTTAACATGAAATATAAATTATATTTATGTAACCAATTATAACCATGAAAAATACTTTTGGTAAGAAAATCATGACACTCTTTGGAGATTGCTTGTGAAGTAATGGTGAAATTCTTCAACACTCCATTGGCGACACTTGTTTTCACTGTTTTTGCCATTACTGACAAATGTATTATCCATATAAACTACTTTGAATTTGGGGTTGTTTTTACATACATCCTTCATATTTCGACTTGTTTTATACCTCACGGGGTCTTGGAAATCAATTCATTATTGTTATATCTTTCAAAAATAGTATAAGCGAAAAAGAGCTAAGGATTGATTCCCGAGATTCTACAACTCTCAATAAGTTTTTCCATATTTTGAGTTTCCAATTGTAATCATTTGATTCAATTCACTGAACAGCGCTATACCTCAAATTCCTAAACGATAAAGTTTTTCAAGACGAAGAGCCTTATTGATAATGTTATATGCCCTTCTGAGATAAAAACAATACTATTCATGATAATAATTAAAAAAACTTACAATATATAATAAACTGTGAATTTTTTTTATTTGGTATTGTTTTTCACCAACTAATGGGTCAGTGTATTCAAAAAATAGTTATGAGTGATACCTCATTATTCAAGAAATTATATATTTACAATACTGTGTTCACTTCATTCTGTAAGCTGTGTGATGAGATGAAATAAAATTGATTGATTCCAAAAAAATCAACTGCTCTTCCGATACAGCACTTCTCAAATATTTTTGTTACTTGACTTTGTGACTTTTGAATCAAATGGAATTCTTACTACATCCGCATGAAAATAGATGGTGGCTCCCCTGGTAGATTAATTTCAAAAGTCCTACTAGACGTTGGAGCTAAAAAATCCCTCCAACTCAAAAAAAAGTGGAAAAGTAGCATAAAAAGAGCCTGAAATTACAGAGAGGTCTGATTTGAGAGAATTTTTAATGAACAAAATGACTCGAATGAAAAAAATTTACCAAAGTAGAAAATTTGGCTAAAAATTAATTTTGAAGTCCATAAAGGTTTTGCCCAACAGAGATGAAGGATCAGATGTGTTGTTATCAATATCAGATAGTTGAGAAGTGTTACCTGAATGTTATGTTTGAATTTCATTACAAAGGGTGGAGTTTTCTCGAGCGTGACGTCTTTCATGGACTTTCAAATTGCTACTTTGAATGAAAGACTTTGAACAGATTTTACATTGAAATGGCCTTTCTCCAGTATGAATCCGTTCATGAACTTTAAAATCTCTACTTGAAATGAAAGATTTCAAACAGACATTACATTGAAATGGTTTTTCTTCGGTATGGCTTTTTTCATGAACTTTAAGATTATAACTCAAAGTGAAAGATTTTGAACAGACTTTACATTGAAATGGTTTTTGTTCATTATGAATTTTTTCATGAACTTTCAAATAAGCTCTCCGAATGAAAGATTTTGAACATATTTTACATTGAAATGGTTTTTCTCCAGTGTGAATCCTTTCGTGAAGGTTGAAATGACTTCTGTCAGTGAACGATTCTGAACAGAGATTACACTGAAATGTTTTCTTTTCAATATGACTCCTTTGGTGAATTTTCAAATGACCAGTTTGAGTGAAAGATTTTGAACAGATTTCACACTGGAATGGTTTTTCTCCTGTATGACTCCTTTGGTGAATTATTAAATGACCACTTTGAGAGAAAGATTTTGAACAGATTTTACAGTGGAATGGTTTTTCTCCAGTGTGACTCCTTTCATGAAAGTTTAAATGACTTCTATCAGTGAATGATTTTAAACAGATATTACACTGAAATGGTTTTTCTCCGGTATGACTCCTCAGGTGAATTTTCAAATGACTACTTTGAGTGAAAGATTTTGAACAAATCTCACACTGAAATGGTTTTTCTCCTGAGTGACTCCTTTGGTGACTTATCAAATGACCACTTTGAGCGAAAGATTTTGAACAGATTTTACAGTGGAATGGTTTTTCTCCTGTGTGACTCCTTTTATGAATGTTTGAATGACTTCTGCGGGTGAAAGATTTTGAACAGATTTTACACTGGAATGGTTTTTCTCCAGTGTGAATTCGTAAGTGAACTTTTAAATCACTTTTTCGAGTGAAATATTTTGAACAGATCTTACACTGAAATGCAGTTTCTCTAACATGACTTGTTTCGTGAACTTTCAAATCATTTCCTTCACGATTTTTCAAAGTACTTCTTTGAATAGATTTGGTGCATATTTTTCTATGAACTACAGTTTTTCCAGAATCAGGTGATAACTTGTCTGGAAATAACACAGTTTCGTAACTCATGTCCTCTTCTTTCTTTATGATTATTTCATCTTCTGGTAGCATTAATTTAGTATCTGTAAAAAATATCATTTATAAAATACAGTTGTTCATCTGGTTGTCAATCCGGTAAATTATTATTGGTAAAAGTGTATTGTGCTACAAACACACAATTGATATCATACTATAAGTTTCTTCCTTTCCTTAAATCCTCAGTTCGAAATAATTCAAGGCAAAAAAAATGAGGTAAAGGAGTGAATAATGGAATGAATATTTCCGCTTTTATGAAAATAAAGTGAAAAAATTAAAAAATTATGGACATAATTCATAATTCTTGAAAATCTCAAATATTAATTTTCATTAAATTGTCATTTCAATAATCTGTCGTTAGACCTTCATCAATTATTTGAGTGAATTCCTGCTTATGTGACACTCGTCTGTGTTGGTTGATACGAGACAATGTATTTCAATAACGTCCGCATAATTTTCAGTGCGTTGATTGTGGGCCTCTCTGCACGGGGTCTAAGTTTACCAAAGATAGTTCTCCCTCAGTTTGATGATACAAATGAAAGTCTATAATTTACATTTAGTCTGAAATTACGTCGTGATGTGGCAAATTTACATCCCGATGATTCTCCTATAATTTTATCTACGAATCAAATTAATGCTAGAAATGAGGGAATGCACAAGAAACTAATTTTTGTGAAAAAAAAACAATTAATATATAAGCACATATTTTTGAAAGGCTTTGAAAAATATACAGAATATTTTCAAATGTTTATACAAAAATTTGATATCAATGGAAAAAATGACTGGGAGAAGAAATAATTGAATTTGATATTGCAAGCATTGGTAAAATTAGCAAATGAGACAAGTGTAATTCTGGAGTTGTATTATTTTCTTTTAGTCTTGTATGAGAAAAGAACTCTCAACCCATATGAAGTTTTTATGATATATTTCATACTTTCTATTCGTCTTTGCGAGTTTTTTAATATTGCATTTTTATTATTTGTCACTGGATTATTTTAATGAGGATTGAGTTAATTGAGCACAAAATAATGCGTGTCACTGCAAGGTGTGAGAAAATAGTTCAAACCCAATTTACATCCTGAGAGCTCAAATTATCAAATTGATATAAACAGGGGTTGGGGTAGATTTTTTGCCCAACGAAATATTTCAACATAGACTGCTGCAATAGGAATATGAAATGAAATCCTCATCTACAAATGTTTTGCAGCAGTTATAAGATTGTGCAAATATTGTAAATAGATGAGGGTTTGTGATGCACTGTCTGGAACCTTTGGTGTAGTAATGAATATTACTGGAGTTTTTTTCCCAACACCAAACCGTTATTTCAACACCTCAACATTTGTTTCGATCAACAAGTGATTATCATCAAGAGTAAGATCAAACTGATGAGGTTTGATCACGAATTTCATCATCATTTATATTACCAAGATTTGTAAATCAATTTGACAGATCCATGGATAGAGTTCAAGACTGCCTTCCAACCGATAACGAAAAAAGTGTAATTAGCTGTAAATTCCAAATTTTGAAACACCAACATAAAAAAATACCATTGTTACAATTATTACTTTGCTCAATGAATTTTCTGATTGTATCCAGACAATAAGCTGTTATTCCAGGTTCAAATATGAAGTCAAGAAATTTTTATGAAAAATAGTGTTTATATTTTCAAAGAGTTTGATAATTCGAAAATCTAATGATATTTTGATTGTTCCTTGAGGATGACAAAATGTTTGATAACTTTATATAATATATAGTTAATAAAGATGTCTTTTAGATTATTAGCATTTTACATTGTTTGTTTGACTTGCCATGTGTGCACTGTATGTTTTATGGGAAAATAAATATATTTTATTCTATTAACTTCACATATTTGAGATATATTTGATGTTAGAGCAGAGGTTTTCAAATATTTTTTGTGGTTTGCGCCTCCTTAAATACTCAGATTTTTTCTAAATTGTTTTACTTTTTTGAAAAATTGGAAAACTCTTGGATGCGGATTGGAAAGGAAACAATGAACGTCTCGAAAGTTACTAAATTCTTGGAATCGGCGCCCCGGGAAGCACTGGGTTAGAGGAAAGAAACAAATAAAGAAAGAATGCAAAGGTGAAAGTTGAAAATTGCCAATTTGTTATAGTTAAGAGAGATTTTCCTCTAATCTGTTCACTAGATCAAACATGTTAATTATTAAATTCCATACATGTCGAATGTATTGCCTATCAAAATATGGGTATCCTCAATTTAAAAAAACAATGTTATTTATATGTCCATCCATTTGTTCATTAAACAAATATTACTCAAACTGCATCTCGAAACATGGAATATGTGAATGTATTCTGTCGTTGTTCATGGCTACTGGGTAAAACAGATTGAGATGCGAGTCTAGAATGTACTGGTACATTCTTTTTTTTCGTTAAATCTGAAAATGCTAGGACGCCACTCAAGTATTTACTTAAGGTGATTGACAAAACAAAGGTATACAAAGCAGAACCAATTTTAAAGCATATGATGATAACCTGTTAATGTTATTTGTATGTTACAAATCACAAAGGTTGATGAAGAGTGAATTGTATGAAACTTGGTAATAAAATATATTCTATCTCATAAACAGATAGATAAGGATAATCTCACTTCAGATCCTGTTGCATTACTTTTCCTTACAGAAGTTATTTTACCTTACATTTAAAATTAAACCCAATTTCTCAATACCTGCACTTTGTTACTTTACTTTAACTCCTTGCATTATCATAGACTTAGGGTATGAATCCACTTTTGTTTGAGTGAAATAGAAGTAAAAATCTGGTCTCTGAATTATGGTGTTATTATGAATGTGGATAGTACATGTAGCAAATTCTGAAAGTGACTTCACATTCATGTTCTCACCTTGACTATCACTTGTAGGTAGACAACAACATTCAGGCTCAAAACATCGCCTGCATACATTTCCTGTTGCCTCAAACTCTTCAGTTTTGAGATTTTCGCTCAGGATGTTGATATCGTCATTACCTTTCATTTTTTTCTGTTGACTGCAGTTGGTATCATCTTTGTAATCCATTGAGAATGCCTCAGAAATGGAACCGATATCAATCATTTCACATTCATCGAACATCTCATCTTCCTGTTCAACTTTCACTGAATTCATTTCGGAAATAACTAAATTAGCAACAAACATCTTGTTGGCCCTTTCAACTGCGCTTCCATATTCATCGTTAGCCATTGTAGACGTTTCCATAATAGTATTTTATAAAATAGGATAGACTACTCAAACCGGGTATATTCAGTGACGTAATATTAAATAATTAAACCGAAAATATCGAAACCAAAAGCGTCGTATCCCTTTTCCACTAATGAACGATGTAATCGAAATTCAATGTTCAATCGGGGTGGGATGTAATTCTTGAACTTCATGGATGACTCATTGACACATGTCAGGTGTCAAATTCAATAATGAAAAGGAACTTTTCAATTTGTGCATATAGCTGTTGTATCATGTATTTCGTGCTCCATGTTCTATGTTTTTTGACGGTAGATTGTCATCTTTTGACTGATAGTCCATTTCGCTCGACAATCTTCATATGTAAAGTTGTGTCCTAATTAAAAATCATAAAACATCATGAAAACTAGTGTCTTATTGACTGAAGATCCCTAGATAATATAACAACAGCTTTATTTCAGCTATATCGATCAAAATAAGGCAGTCTGACGTAACGTAAAAATAACGTTTCAAAACCAATCTCTCGCTAGTTTTGAATCATCAAGAATACGTTTTGAATACATGAGCGCCAGAAAACGCCTCATCTAGGTTAGATCTGTCTCTAATAGATGTTGTATCTAGATGATTAATTTCCATTAGTGTCATTCCATTCATATTTTGAGTCATTCGACAAATACCAGAGTATAAACTACAATTTGACGATACAAAATATCCTTAAATGAATATCATCAGTTATTTTCCAGCAGATACATCTATCTGAATTTTTAAGCATGTCTACCACACACCTAGTTTCGATACGCTACGAATGTTTCAACTTCCCGGATAAATCCCGCATTCCAAAGCTAAAACAGGCATTTGAATGTAGGCGATTTGTATATAGCCAAACAAACAAGATTCATATATTTTTTTTTATTTGTCAGTGTCATATGACGCACTCACCAGATTTTCTATATATAAAGTTAGATACTTAGTTTCCCACATAACATACTATCTTGGTTAAAAATCTTTTACAACAACGGGGGTCAACTCAATAACTAACAAGTTACTGAAGAGGCTCTCAGACAATTGCGTTGAGAACCTTCTGAACATCATAAACAGTTCATTGGCCCTCATACACTTCCCCAGAAGATGGAATCACGCGATTGTCGTCATGATCCCAAAACAGGGTCAGTCTACTCTCGTCGGCGGATGAGCTGGCTGAAAGAGTTGTTCTTCAAAGGCTCAACGAAGAAGTTGAGGACCGAAATGTTCTGCCTGATGAACAATTTGGCTTGAGGAGAGAACACTCCACTGAGTTACAGGCTCTAAGGCTGGTCGAAAACACCTTCCACGAGTTAAACACCAACAAAAAAGTGCACATTGTTCTATTAGATATCTCGAAGGCCTTCGAGCGTGTATGGCACGAAGGCCTTCTGCACAAATTAATCGCGTCCGACCTGCCTCGGGGCCTGATCCGCTGGATTGGGTCCTTCCTGAAAGACATAACATTTCAGGTTAGAGTAGAGGGCTCTCTGTCTGACAACAGTAAGATCCTCGCTGGAGTGCCACAGGGGGCCGTGCTCTCTACGACGTTGTATTCACTTTACACCGGTGACCTTCCGAGGCCCGAGCCTGTGAAGATATCGTTATACGCCGATAACACGGCTCTCCTCTTGTCTTCCATGGGTTGGGAGCTCGGCGTCGGCCTCTATTGGAAGATTGCCATCTTCTCCGGCCAGAAAAGTAAGAATCTCTGGAAAGGAGATTGACTGGCAAGTGCGGGTAAAGTTCCTCGGTCTTCTAATAAACCGTAGGCTCACTAGGAACACGCACATTATGTGCGTTTAATCAAAGATCGAGGGTCGGATAGTTAGTATGTACCCTCTGATCAACAGAAAATAAAAAATGAGTTTAAAGAACAAAATTACCATCTTCAATACGATGTTCACGCCTGTCATCATATATGCTTCAGGCGTCTGGGAACAAGCGGCGAAATATAATATCTCCATTCTGGAGGAATTGCAAAATAAGCTAACGAGGATGATTGTGAATGCTCCTTGGTTCGTGCGGAATGAAGCCATCCGCAGAGATTTGCAGCTGCCTTCCATTCAGTCGAGGTTAGGGGAGCTATAGATTATGCTGTAGACGACCCCTCCCAATATAGAAGCCCCGACATTCTGTCGAATGAGGCCCTCATGTCCTCCGTTAACGGACGAATAGATTTTTCATCCATCGAATCCCAGCCAGGTAGGGGTACACCGTGAAGGGCGGTACTGATGTCTGGGGACTTCATACCGCCATTATCCCCTCAATCATGAACCCATTTGTCCCTCTTCGACAAAAATCAGCTAAAAGGGTAAGGGAGCTGGGCTCCAACCTGAATGAACTCAAGAAGACATGCAGGTCAAATACAACATCATGTCCACGATATGACGTTAGGAGTTCCTCAGGGATCAGTACTTGTACCTTTTCGTGGTATTCGTTAACGATATATATGTTTGCAGCTGATACCACAATGGGAATTACTGAAGCCACAGTGGAAATTGTACGTACAAGAGTCAAAAGAGGTTATGATTGGTTTCAAGTCATGTTGTGAAGCCTCATTTAATACTCAATACCTAATTATTCCCAAAAAGAAGACCTAATCTTTGAGACAAGAAAATCGAACTAGATGACAAATAAATAAAATATACAATACAATAATTGTATTTTGTAACTCTAAAAGTTGCTCAATACCGAACCAACTTTTTTCCACAAGAGGTGGTTGTTAATGGATGACCTCTACCACTCATCCCCAAGGTGATCTGCTCAAGATCAGGCTGAGTAGACATCCAGTACTTACGCAGTTCTAGGAGGATTCCAGGCGCCATTATGTTCCTCTATAATTGACTCTTACTTTGACCTCGTTAATCCTTAGCTAGCACAAGTTTCGACTTCTTTTGAGGGTTGTTGTTCGTAGGAAGGCTTCAGCTAGGTAACGGGATATCAGATGGGAAATTAAACTTGAGACATCACATATATTGTATTATTTTTAGTATATACATAAAATATATTGTATTCAAGGGTTATCGATTATTTTGTTTTTTTTAAAATGAAAGTTTTAATTTTTTTTGTTCAAAGTGAAACAATAAAATATAGTATTCATTTTGTAAGACATTGGGTGCTTTGATTATTCATATCCCATATAGGGAGAAATGGAGACAAAAGAAATTTGGTGGAGCGATTTACACAAATAAACAATTAGAAAATTCACTGAATTCGCAAATTTCCTTTTTTTATTCATCTTCAAATGAATCTTGATCACTGTTAGAAAATATCTTAACTCATTAACCCTCTCATCAACGACTTAGTCTTTTCTGAGATTTCGAGATATAACTTTTGTCCTGAGTCAATGCACATACCTCTGATAATGGCTGCTGAAGTAGCAGACGAAACGTTTGGTACTTCATGTCTCATTTCACCAAGGCCTACCAGTCAGGATTTTGCTATTTAATACATTGAAAATGTCATCAGTTATTAAAGCGAATATCAATGGTCTCTTCAATTTCCTAATAACCGATTTCGACTGAATCCCATGTCATTTTACTAACAAGTGTTATTTCCGAGAATTTCACCAAAATATGTTCTTGTGAAGATTTTCCATTGAATCTTATTTTGAATCAAATGTGATAGTGATAGAGAAGGTCGAATTCTCCACTACATTTGCATGAAAATGGATGGCTCCCCTTTTTCACCTTAAGCTTGCAAATCCCATCAACTTAAAAAAATAAAAGTAGAAGAGTAGCATGAAATGAGCCTGAACTTACAGAGATGTCTGATTTGCTATTTTTTTTAATAAACGAAATAACTACAATGAATAAAATTTCATAAAAATAAATGTTGAAATCCATAAAGGTTCTGAACAACAGAGACAAAGGAGCAGATGCTTTTTTTCCAATGTCAAATAGTTAAGAAGTGTTTTCCTGAATGTCATGTTTGAATTTCATTACAAAGAGTGGAGTTTTCTCGAGTGTGACGTCTTTCGTGAACTTTCAAATTGCTACTTTGAACGAAAGACTTCGAACAGATTTTACATTGAAATGGTTTTTCTCCAGTATGAATCCGTTCGTGAACTCTAAAATCTCTATTCGAAATGAAAGATTTCAAACAGATTTCACACTGAAATGGTTTTTCTTCATTATGGCCCTTTTCATGAACTTTTAGATTACATTTCATAGTAAAAGATTTTGAACACATTTTACATTGAAATGGTTTTTCTTCATTATGAATTTTTTCATGAATTTTCAAATAACTATTATGGGTGAAAGATTTTGAACAAATTTTACAATGAAAAGGTTTTTCTCCACTGTGATTCCTTTCATGAAAATTTAAATGACTTCTATCAGTGAATGACTTTGAACAGATATTACACTGAAATGGTTTTTCTCCTGTATGACTCCTCTGATGAACTGTTAAATGACCACTTTGAGTGAAAGATTTTGAACAGATTTCACACTGGAATGGTTTTTCTCCTGTATGACTCCTCTGGTGTATTTTTAAGTGACCCATTTGAGTGAAAGATTTTGAACATGTTTTACACTGAAATGGTTTTTCTCCAGTATGACTCCTTTCATGAATGTTCAAACGACTTTTGTGAGTGAAAGGTTTCAAACAGATCTTACATTGAAAACTGTTTTCTCCACTATGAATTTTTTCGTGAACTCTGAAATTTCTACTCAAAGTGAAAGATTTTAAACAGACTTTACATTGAAATGGTTTTTCTCCAGTATGGCTCTTTTCATGGAGTTTCAGATTATAACTCAAAGTGAATGATTTTGAACAGAGTTTGCATTGAAATGGTTTTTTTTCATTATGAATTTTTTCATGAACTTTTAAATATGCACTCTGAGCGAACGATTTTGAACATATTTTACACTGAAATGGTTTTTCACCAGTGTGACTTCTTTCATGAAAGCATAAATGAATTTTATCAGTGAACGATTTTGAACAGATATTACACTGAAAGGGTTTATCTTCGGTATGACTCCTTTGGTGAATTTTCAAATGACCACTTTGAGTGAAAGATTTTGAACAGATTTCACACTGAAATGGTTTTTCTCCTGTATGACTCCTTTGGTGAATTATTAAATGACCACTTTGAGTGAAAGATTTTGGACAGATTTTACAGTGGAATGGTTTTTCTCCAGTGTGACTCCTTTTATGAATGTTTGAATGACTTCTACGAGTGAAAGATTTTGAACAAATTTTACATTGAAATGATTTTTCTCCAGTGTGAATTCTCAAGTGAACTTTCAAATCACTACCTCGAGTGAAATACTTTGAACAGATCTTACACTGAAATGCAGTTTCTCTAACATGACTTGTTTCGTGAACTTTCAAATCGTTTCCTTCATAATTTTTCAAACGACTTATTTGTTTAGAATTGGTGCATATTTTACTATGAACTAGAGTTTTCCCAGAATCAGATGAAAACTTGTTTTGAAATGGCACAGTTGGCAATGTTTCATAACTCATGTCCTCTTCTTTCTTTATGATTATTTCATCTTCTGGTAGCATTAATTTAGTATCTGTAAAAAAAAAGTCACTTATACAATACAATAGTTTATCTGATTGTCAATCAGGAATTAATATTTCAGCTTTCATGAAAATAAAGTAATAAGGTAAAAGAAATGAATGTGTTATATTGCAAAATAACAATTTATGGTAATCTCAAATATCAATTTTCATTATATTGTCATTTCAATTACTCATCATTAGGCCTTTCTGAAATCAAGTCTAAAATTACATCCTGATGTAAAGACTTTTAAAAATATACAGAAAAAATTTCAAATATTTCTACAGAAATGTAATATCAGTAGAAAAAGTAACTGGGAAAAGAAATACTCAAATTAAAAAATGCAAGCATTGGTCATATTAGCCAATGACATGTGTAAAATTGTGGAGTTTATGCTGAAAAAGCAATCTGATATGGTCTTGTTCAGAAATGAAAAAATTTTAAAGTTAATCGAAATCTACTTGAATTTCGTCTCATATGTGGATTTGGTACTGCGGGTAAAACAAGTTGTGACATGAGTCAGGAATGTACTAGCAAAGTTTATATTGTAATCTAATGATAATACTTTTTTTCGTTAAATCTGAAAAAGCTACTGCCCGCTCAAGTATTCACTTGAGAACCATAGGATCATATCCTGTTAATGTTATTTGTATGTTACAATCACAAAGGTTTCAACATTGAAATGTATGAAACTTGATAATGAAATATATTTCATATGGTAAACGGTTAGAGAAAAACAATCTTTCTATGGATCGTGTTGCATTACTTTTCCTGAGTTATTTCACCTTACATTTCATCTTAAGCCCGATTTCTTGATACTTGAACTTCCTTACATTACTTTAACTCCTTGTATCATAAACTTAGGGTAAGGATCTACTTTTGTGTGAGTAGAATAAGAGTAAACATCTTTTCTCAGAATTATGGTAATATTATGAATATGGATAGTACATGTAGCAAATTCTGAAAGTGGCTTCACATTCACACTGATTTATGTTCTCACCTTGAATATCACTTGTAGGCAGACAACATTCAGGCTCAAAACATCGCCTGCAAACATTTCCTGTCCTCTCGAACTCATTTTCAGATTTGAGATTTTCATAGACAATGTCGATTTCCTCATCGACTTTTATATTTTTCTGTTCACCACTGAAATTGGTATCATTCTTGTAATCCAATGAGTATGCCTTAGAAATGGAACCTATATCAATCATTTCACATTTATCACACATCTCATCTTCTCGTGGTTCAACTTTTATTGAATTCATTTCGGGAATGACTGAATTAGAAACAAACAACTTGTTGGCCCTCTCAACTGCGCTTCCATATTCATCGTTAGCCATTGTAGACGTTTCCATGAAAGAAGTTTACAAAATATAACAGACTACTCAAACTGAGAACTGAGGATATTCAGTGACGTAAGAATAAACAATTAAACCGAAAATATTTAACAAAACGTGTCGTGTTCCTTTTTCACCGGTTAACTCAACCAGTCAACGATAATCAAATTTATATCGGGGTGGGATGTGGGATACAATTCTTGAAGTTTACGGATGACTACAGTGACGTTGTGGTGACGTAAATTCATGTCTATGCCACAAACTACTTAAGTAGGTGGTTTGTGGTCTATGCTACAAGCACAAACAGGTGTTCTCTGGCCACAAGTACAGGTATAGAATTGTACCATTCTACTTGTATCTATGCTATCGAAGTATGCTGAAACCGATTTTACAAATGAAAAATCAAAATAGAAAAATACATTATTCCGTAATTGAGGGCGTTCTCATTTATTTATTTTTAGTTATTATACAAACCAGAGATCGCAATTGCACTATGAACTACTTATTTAAATTTATTATGCAGCACAAATTTTATGATGGAACGGTACCGAACTCAGAGCCAAAAGAAAACTAATAATGAGTCGATGTTTTGATAAATTGACACAACAATTTTGGAGCGGAATTTCATAGAAACTGTCGTGTCGCGGTTGGTGACTATTAAGTGACCGGTTATCGCTCTTACTTCGATTCCAAATATTCAGTTGACAAGAGCATGGACGTTAGATTCGATGGCGCGCGGGTTATAGGGAAACCAAAAATATGTAAAATTTCTTATATTTATGGAAGCTTCAGAGATAGATGCAATATGTATAGGGGCATATTCAATCATTTTGCTTTGAGGATATCCAGTGAAATATCATGAAAATAAAAATTCAAAAATACAACAAAAATCAGACTTCATTAAGGAACATTATTTGTGTTATGGTCTGTACCATCGCGCACAATACTATATCGTATATTTCTGTTTGGCGATTTTATGTAACTCAGTGAATTTTTCAGTCTCTATTATTGGTAGATTCTGGGGTGTTTCTGATTGTACCGACGAGGTGTCAACACAACACGAAATAAATTTAACAATTGAAGCAGAGCTGTATTTAGTTACTGCAATATTTGATCAGAATAGTAAGATACTTTTTATCTACGAATAATAATAATTCCTAAATCATTTGAAAAAGCTAATGTCTTAGCGAAACATGTGATATATTTTCAAATAAAGTTTGTGAAGATCAAATCGTGAGGTGTAGTTTTTGAAATTACTATGGATCTTCATCAAGTAACGGCCGAATCAATCAGGAAAAAAATTCCTAACAAACCAATCTTCAACTCGGACCGTGTGAACTTTGTCTGGACTGTTGCTGTTTCGGAATCTGTGATTCCGGTAAGTATGAACGAGCCTTAATAGTGACAGTGACAGTGACAGTAAACAAGCAGTATAGTGGTAGGTAGTAGTGTGAAGTTGTGAAGTGTAATGGTAACACTGGCAATTGATTTCATTTTCATAGGAATACAAAGAAAAACTACAGTTTTTTGTCGATAAAAAATTCCAATGTAGAAAAACTAGGCTTTGAAATTACTGTAACACTACGAAGAGGCAAGGAGTCAGTTGTATAATTACACTTGAATATTCGTTGACAGGTATGAATATAAAAAAAAATTGTTAAAATGTTATGTTTCTTATTTTTATCAGATTCAACAAATCAGGTGTTTCAAATGGAGAATGGGCACGTTCGGGACTTCTCAGAGTTCTGCGACCAGCTGAACGATATACGTTTGAAGTTCCACAAGTTTGACAACTGCGAAAGAACCGTAGGCCTTTACTATTTGATGGTAGGACTGCCGTTTGCCAATGCTAAATTTCTTCAATATGCTCTCGAGCAGTGTGTAAACTCAGTTAACACGTTAGAAGCCCAGTGCCTGGAAAAAAATGCCAACGATCCAGAATATATTGCAGGTTTGAACTGAAATTTTTAGTTTTCATAAGATGTATGGTGTTGTCACAAATTCGCATTGGTTTCATCAAAAGCTCTCCACATGATGGTGCAAAAATAGAATTCTGATACATTGGTTGCTTTTAGTCAATGAATACAAAGCCCATGGAAGCTCAGAACTGGCGTTTTCATGTACCGTAAAATGTTTAGTACTTACCCTGACCACACCAGACCACACTATGTGAGTAGCTAGTAGTCGCCAACAACCCGTCGGCCGGATCATTTTCAAGACGGGATATATGCCAAAATTTACATCAAAAAGCCGACTGGTTTGTCAGTGAATGCTACCCAGTTCTGTTGGTAATCACGCTTTGTATTCTTTGCTTTAGTGTTGATAATTAGTAGAAATATTTCACATCGATAATAACAAACAATATAAACTAACTGTCCGTCACGACCAAACTTAAACAAGTGTCAAAGAGGAAATTTGTCTAACTTACTGTTCTAAAACTTCGCTTAAAGTTCATTTTCATTATCTCAACAGTTGAAAAGCTGTTAAAATGCTTTTCGAATCAATAATTTTCAGCATTTACTCTCTGCCACATTCAGAATTGGAACCTCTTGTTCCCACCAGCTAGAAGATGGTAGGAACAAGATTTTTGTTTAGACATTTCCAATTAGTCACATGAATCGTCAAATTATTTTCTTGAATACAGGAGTATTTTCTGCAATTTTATTTTGATTACAAATTCATTTTTTTGTTATCGTCATAAGTTATTTAATTATTCTTTTCTGTGTTTCTATAGTAGTAAAAGTAGTTGTGTATCATAATGGCTTCAAACTATTGTATCATTTGTGGAGAACCTTGTGGAGCAATTTACGTATTTATATATATTATACTATGAAACTTGCTTTGCATAGATTGCCCTTAACATTCTATATTTGATTAATGCTTTTGAAAAGGAAATTGGCAAATGTAGTAATAGCATTACTTTTTTATAAAAAAAAATTCTTGAATAAACCAGTACAAATACACTGACTTGTTACTTGATGAAAATCAATAACTCCATAATGATAATTCACACCATAAATTTAATTCCAGACTTGTTTGAGAACATGGTAGTTTCATCGGTTGGAATTATATATAAAAGTAGTCTACAATGTCTATAGTGGTCACTTGGACAAAATTAATAGGTGTGCAAATTATTTACACTTTATATTTTCATGGAGTTTTGAGGTATCTTCATTTTGGAAAAAAAATTGGATAGTTAAAAACATTCCAATCCCAGTAACTGAACCCTCTTGTTTTATTTTCTCAAAGCCCTTACAGATGGTTCCATTGCAGGTTTCCTTCAAGAGCCATCTCAAACAGCATTAACTTCTCTTCTAAAGCATCTACCTCTTCTGAAACCGAATAATAAAAAAGCAGCTGACTGTTATTTGAGAATTATCCAACAAGTACTGAGAGATTTCATTGCTCCTCCTTTGAAAATTTATAACGATTGTGTAGAAATCATGTCGTATGTTTACATCCATCCTGCCTTCAACAACGAAGACAAGAAGTCTTTCAAACAATTGCTGACGAAAGTTTTAACGAAGATTAGCCCTCCCGGTTTCAATAACTCACCTACCACAGAGTCTAGTGACGAATCCGTTAGTCCGAACCCAGAATCACAGCAGAATTTGAAACAGAGAAGGTCACATAGCCTCACGATAGGACAGGTGACCTATCAAGAGAATCTGCCTTCCAGTCAGGACAATCGGTGCTCCAATGAGAATTTGAATGAAGCTCCTTGTAAGCAGAGAAGCTTCTCTCTGTCGAGCGAAACTTCTCTTCTGTCTGGAGTGCCCGGATTGCAGGCTAGCAGGTAATTTTTTGCGCAAATAAATTTTAGCATTCACACTACATTTTAAATTTGTAAATACTCATTTTAACGGCAATCGCTTGTTTTTGAAAAAAATCTTAATACACCTACGTATTTTGGTTTATTGTTGAAGAGCCCTGAAAAAGAATTTAATTGAATTCGAAACGTCGGAAAGAAAACAATTGTTTTTTTTTAAGAAAAAATGTATCCTGTTACCCAATCTTTTTTTCAGAAAAATTATTGGACCACTAAAGTAGTTGACTGAATAGAAAACTCACTTTGTGTAATGAATACTTGTGAAATAACAACTTCTTTTCTCGATCTGCGGACTTTTATTCACCTAACTACTTACATTTTTATTCCATAAAAAGCGTTTAATTAGTTCAAAATTGTGTCTTTTCCAGAAAATTACATCTCATTTGTTTAATTAGCTAATTGACACTTTTACATGGACTTTCCTTACTACTATAGGAATATTAAAACTATAAAAGTATGAAGATAAATTCATTTTTTGACCAATATCCAAAAATCCAATCGTTAATGAAAACCAGTCAATTCAAACAAATTCTGAAATTCAAGTCCCACCACTTCAGCTTATTTTTGTTTTTGTTATATATTACTTTTTATTCTTGACAGGTCGGAGACTGGACTTCAAGACTTGAAGTTGATGAATAATAACCCTTCTATGAAATGCATTGTGTCCTGGTTGAAATCTCTGAGGTTACACAAGTACAGCTGGGTATTCAATAATCTGACTTACACCCAGATGTTAAAATTAACGGAGGACGATCTTCAAAAAATAGGTGAGTGGAACGAGTTTCTCTGAAAAGTGATAGGAATAATTGAGGAATAATTGTCAAATAATTCATTACAAACAATAACTAATATATAATAAAATATAATAGGTACAGTATATATTCGGTTCTATTTCTAAAAAAAAACATATTGATAGATACATTGGATAAAAATTTCATTAGCATCACATATACTTTTTCTATGTTAGTTACCCTGTGTTTTTTGTTAGTGTCAACTATAACATGTACATGAAGAACACCTATTGGTGTTTGAGCAAAATATTAAAGAGGTTCTGGAAAAAAAGGCCAGATGAATGCAGTCTATAAAGTTTTCTCTAAGGCATTTGATCGTGTGGATCATAATGTATTATATAAGATGTATTTATTTGGTTTCACAGATGTCTCTATCATGGTTTGAAAGCTTCTTAACCGGCCGATCTCAGCAATTTAGGGTAGGGAATATAACGTCGAGAGTACCTCAAGGGTCTCATTGTGCATCTCTTCAATATCTTTTTTAATGACATTACAGAATGTTTCAAAATTCGAACTTTCAAATGTTTGCTGATGATCCTAAAATTTTCAGACCTATAGAATCGTTGGACGACGTTACTCTGTTATTTGATTTAAATAGCTTCAATCAATCATTCATATATTTCATTCAGAGACTTTATCCGGTATAAAACATGTCAATCACAATGAACAAAAAAGAAGTTCTTATCCTAAAAAAGAATAGGTGGTGTATTGAAAACAATTTACACATGAACATGAGCAAATGTAGTTTTATAATGCGCTGTTTGGAACCTTTGGTGTAGTAATGAATATTACTGGAGTTTTTCCCAACACGATTTTATTATTATTACTCTTTATTAGCAAATAATGCTCTTCATAGTACAGTCAGTCACTTATAAAATACATTTGGTGTTGAGAAAAAACTCCAGTAATATTCAAATGTAGTTTTATCAGTTTTTACAAAGAGAATAGAAAATTTCACATCTCATACTTCCTGAATAGTAATCCATTAACACGTGTCACTTCAATGAAGGATCTAGGATTTCTCTTTGACAAGCAATTGCGATTTGTAGATCATATAAATTATATTGCCTGTCAATACATCAAAGCTACTGGGATTTATATCACAAAACTGCAAACTATCATCGATCAATTTAGTGAGAACGATATATCTTCCTTTAATAGTCTCCCACCTAGAATATCGCTAGATTATTTGGTCACCATCTTATACAAACCACTGTGTCACATTGGAAAGAGTCCAACACAAATTCCTAAGATTCTGTGATTATAAAATGAATATAAATTGATAGATGAACCGTTATTACGAGGTAGGAGATCATGAAAAATGAGAATTGAAAAACACAAGTTTTAATTATCATTTTATACATAATTATACAATTCTTTCGAACGGTTTCAATGTAGACTTGTTGAGCAGAAGAAGAGAGAATGCTGACCTTATATAAAAAAATAATGAATGGCCTCATTACATGCCTGAAACTTCTCGAGAAGATTATTTTTCATATGCCAAAGAGAACTCAGAAATAATGATCTATTTCACGTTAACTTCTATCGTACAAACTAAACTATGCTTCCTATTGATCGTATCGAAGTGCAATAACATTTTTTAAGTATAATTTTAATCAAAACATTAATACAAAAAAAAACAAAACTGAATTATTGGTAATAATGACATGAAACAAAGTCCCGGATTGCATGAAAAAACTATTTAATTGTCACAACAAGATCATTTACAAGCCAAACTAACCAACTACACAACACTATCATATCGGCCAAGGACAAAAAAGCTCTGACATCCGCCGATATCGTTTCTGTTGTGGCTCAGTTAATATCGGAACTATCAGAAGCAGCATCAACACCAGGATATAAGAACACAAACGTAGCAGCTGCCTCATACAACCAGAGATATCTACAATTGCAGAATATGTCCTAGTAGTTGAAACAGACCTCGTAATGAAATATGATAAAACTGCCTAATTCAACGCATTACTATGCACGAATTTATTGGGAGGCCATTGAGATCCATTAGCATCCCAACAATTTCAACAAGGTATTCAATACTCAAGAAGGCCAGAATACAACCCCGTTCGACATCCCACTTGTAGCATACTTATCAACGTTAACCAAGCAGGACAACCTATTAATAGTGTGTACCAATCTGAATGACCAATCAGAAGTGAGCATTTGCATGGACACCCTGCCATTGTCTCCACCACCATACCCAACATCAGCCCAATCACCATTCCCACTATCACCCCCACCACTCTCTGAAATTATAAATACAAGTGAACACATTGCTCGCCAGTCAGTCGTTGCCGTGACCTCGAGATATAATCTTGATCCTTGCAGTCAATGGTCACACCACTGTTGATGTCTGCCGTAGTCAGTAGCAGACGTGAAGTTTGGTACTTCAGGTTCCATTCGACCACGGCCTGATAGCCCCGATTTTGTTTTATTTGATTATTAACAATCTCTTCAAGCTTCCAGTACGGAAAGATTTCAAATAAATATTCCTTAAAATAGCGATGACAATTGATGGATTGAATTTCATTAGTTCGGACTTCCATTGTCTAAGTTTCGGTAGTTTTATCATACGCACGTGCGTCGTAAAGTTCCGTCAGAATCGAGAGTTTTAGTGGTTTTCGTCGATAGAAAATTTCAAATTTCACATCAGGGTGACAGTAAAAGTGTCCCGAATATTTATTTTGAAAAATAAAGTAAGTTTCGGGTCCTGAGTTGATGAAATTGAATAATTTTTAAAATTGATTCAGTGTATTGGGATTAAACAGTTCTTTCTGATATTCTGTGAATGAACTATAAAAGGGCCTGCAATTAACATAAATCAGCACATTTGGGAAGACAACTGTGAACCCTGCCAGAGGCATACCTACCAAAATTAAATATAAAAATGGGAGAAAAATGTGGAAGTTGCAAAAATAATGTGAGTGATAAGGATACATTGGTAAAATGTGATAGTTGCCATACTATTTCACATGCTAATGAAAACTGTACTAATTTGGCAGCATCTGAACTGAAAGCTGTTATATTGCAAAACAGATCATAATATACTTTTGTAATGAATGTCGTATGGCATTTAAGAAAGTTCCACTACTAATAAGACAAATGGAGGATATCAGAAATGATGTTAAAGAATTGAAAGAAGAAGTTAAAGCTCTAAAAAATGAAAACAAATTTCTAAAAGAAAACTTAATGAAAATTGAGAGTAATGAAACCAACTTTGATATGGAGGAGTTCATGAATGAAATAGAGGAAAGAAAAAAAAGATCAAACAATATAATGATTTTAAATATTAATGAATCGAATGCTGTAAATAGGAATGATATAATAGAAGATGAAAAAAAAACGGTGAAAGAAGTTTTGGAGCATGCAGACACTGCTCTTAATGAGTTTAAAGTAATTAGAATAGGAAAATATGATGGAAGAAAAACACGTCCCATAAAAGTTATCTTGGAATCTAATGATGCAGCAGTAAATATACTAAGAAACCGTAAAAAAATCAATGATAATATTCCTTCTATCAGAATATTTGCAGATCAAACGACTGCTCAACGAGAGTACTACAAAACATTAAAATTAAAGCTGAATAACATCATAGCTGAAGGTGATAATTCTAAAACTATAAAATATCTGAATGGAATTCCAAAAATAGTGAATCAATACGATACAAAAAACTAAATCATACAACACATAAGAAAGAATTTATGTCAATTGAGTTCAATGTAGATATTGTTTATTTAAACATAGAAAGTTTGTTAGCTCACAAAACTCAATTGATATCTGACATTGTTTGTTACCATCCTGCCATTATTTTACTTAGTGAAGCCCGAACGACGAGCGAAATAAATAACCATGAACTTGAGAAATCAGGCTATTCAGCTATAAGATGCGACTCCAACTCAAGACACACAGGAGGTGTAATTATTTATATTAGAAAAGATATTAAATTTACAAACGGTAAAACCTATGTACAAAATGGAAATTATTGGTTTAAATTAACATCTGGAGCCAGCGGCAGCACGAAATGGATAATAGGAAGTTTATATCATTCACCCAGTGGAAGTCATGCATCTTTTCTTGATCAAATGGAGATAATATGTGAAGAAATATTTTGCAGGAATCCTCGAGTGATTTTAGCTGGTGATTTTAATTTAGATTTCTTGATAATAATATTATGAATAACGGTGGTGGATCAATACCTAATAGTATACTATATAGCTTGTTAAAATGATATTTTATTCATTAGATTTACCTGACTATTACATAAGAACACATTGTAAAATTAATTTAATACTGGTAGATAAGGCAATATTGTGAAATTAATTTAAGACACTCAAGACACAGGTACCTAGAACAGGTATTTCGGTATAAATAAGGATAGCTTTGTAAGTATGATTAGGTTGATCTTCCTCTTGAAGTTGATCACTTGGTTATCGAAACACGTGTCAAGGTGTTAAAATAACGGTTTGGTGTTGAGTAAAAACTCCAGTAATATTCATTATTACACCAAAGGTTCCAAACAGTGCATCACAAGTATTTCAGGGTTCTCCATTGAAATATTTAATTGCGATACTTTCTTTTGCTGCCTTTCTATAACATGTATGAGAGATTTATAAATATTCAAAATATCCAAATTTCGTTTCCTGATATATTCAACTTCATCATCCACAATTTGAACTTTCCAGGAATAACAAAAGGAGCTCGTCACAAAATTATTTTGAGCATCCATAAACTGAAAGAAAGAAGTGAAAATCTCACAGAATTAGAAATCGATGTCATGAATGGAGGCGATCTAAATGCTGCTTTGAAGAAATTGAAAAATATTCTGCAGACTCCCCTGCATTTGACGTTGGGCGAAGATCTGGCCTCTCAGTTTGTCAAAGTAATGGGAAAAGGTTCGTAAGGAATGATATTTATTCCGATCAGCGAATTTTAATTCTTTGTTTCAGTATGTACCCAAATACTGATGTTGAGACAACATCACGATGACTACCTCATGCAATTTGGCTCTCTCTGCGACCGAGCCGATACACTGGATGCTTTTACAGACGAGCAAAAAAGGCGATTGAATGTTTGGAAAGGACAGTTATTGAAGGAAGACTCAGTGACGACCTTGATTCATAGGGATCAAAATACAAATGGTGGATATAGGTGAGTTGAGAAAATAACTCAACGTTATCATTTGGGGTCACTCTCCGCCACTTTTAAAATAATAATAATACTTTTATTGCAAAACGATTGTCACAGGACACAGCAAACGTCAGGTACAGGTTTAAAAAAGCAAGTTAAAATGTATTTACGATGTCTATAAATCGGGGGGGGGGGGATGAAAATATTTAAATATTGAGGTACAGTACAAATCTTAAAATGTTAAAACAGTATTCTAATACAAAGGCAAGAATTTAAGTATACAGCTGAATTTAAAAATCTGAGAAGCACAATTGAAAGAGTATCTAAAACTAATACATGTTATTACATCCAACAATTAAAAGAATAATAGCTTTTCTGCTTCAAGTAACTTATGACAGAACTCCTGAACCTCTTCAGTCCTTTGATATCTTGAGGTAGTGAGGTGTATGCTTTGATTGCTTGGTAGTAGTTCTCATAGCTCATTTTGATGTCTAGTGTGGAGGTTCATATTAGTAGAATATTGATCAGCATTTGTAGGAAACAGATGGGGATATTTCTTTACAAAGTTGACAAGGCCCAGTTCAGAAAAGTATGTCCTACATGAAGTATTATGACTCAATCCTAGTATACATCTCATAATGTTCTTTTGTGTTATGAATATTCTTTGTGAGCTTGATGAAGAGCTCCAAAATATAATCCCATAGAAAATAATTTACTGAACCTGAGCATAATAATATGTTCGCAAACAGCTGACTGATACTTGGTCTTGTAGATATCGTATAACTCCACAGATGGAGTTCAGCTTACTATTCAAGATGTTTATGTGTGAATCCCAGCTGAGGGTTGGATCTAGTATAACGCCCAGGAATTTTATATGATATGATATTGGAATCGATTTGCAGTTAAGTTTCACAAGTGGGGATGATTCAAAGTTATTTCTTTTACTGAATGTTATTAGTCCCGTTTTTCCAACATTCAACTCAAGCGTGTTTTCTTCACACCACATGCTCATGCTTTGTGCGACAGTTGAAGCTTTTGTCGAGAGCTCCAACATATTATTTCCTATAACAACAACCGAGGTGTCATCAGCAAACTGATATATACTACCAAGTTTCAATGCATGAGACATATCATTCACATATAATAAGAAGAGTGGGGGTCCAAGAATTGACCCTTGCGGCACCCCTTGCATGATATTAGCTTTGCTAGACAGGTATTCAAACTAGTGATAAATACAACGGTTTTATTGCATCCAGATCAAATATATGTAGTGTGTATGTCTTTTGATGAATCCTGATGAATCCTTAAGGCTTTGTTACAAATATTGTTTATATGATTGTTGAAGTTCAGATCCTTGTCAAACACACAACGCAGGTCTCAAATGTTATCTACTAGTTGTAACAGAGTCATCAATGAAATAGTTTCACTCGAAAGTGTTATGTGATTTAGAGAAACTCATTACCTTGCACTTTCCCACATTGATGTTCGGAAGGTTTATTTTACAGTAGTTCAAAAACTATCCGTATCAGTCTGAACCATTTGACAATGATCTATAGAGGTAACTTCCTTGCAAAATTTGTGATCGTCAGCGTAGAGGAAGACTTTGGAATTTTCGAAGACATCTGTTATATCATTGATGAATAATAAGAATAATATTGGGCCAATGTGTGATCCTTGAGGGACGCCCGAGGTTACTCTGATTACATTGGATATACTGTTAGTGATTTTCACATACTGATCCCGGTTACTTAGATACGAACTGATCAATGATCAAGTCCCTCCAATCTAGAAATTAATAGCCTGTGATTAACAGTCAAAAGCCTTGGCGAGATCGGTGTGAATGACATCTACCTGAAAGTCCTCAAGTTTATTGCACAAAAAATGTTTGGAAAACATTGAGGTTAGTAGCAGTAGAACACCCTTTATAGAAGCCATGTTGCTTTTCAGAAATGTCATGCTTGAAAGTATTGAAAATTTCTTCGGTGAGAATGGATTCATATACTTTTGGAATACACGAAATATTAGAATACCTCTGAAATTTTTCAAATAGTTTTTATTACCTGATTTGAATATGGGAGAGTGAAAAGAATTTTTCCAAACATTCGGAAAGATCCCCTGGTCAAATGAGTTTTGAAATATTATTTTTCGTGGCACAGAAAGGGAAATGAAACAGTTGATTAACAGGATAGGTGGGATTCCATCCGAACCAGCACTTTTATTTTATCTAAATTTTTCAGTGGATTTCATTCTCAGTAAAAATATGGGTGGGAAGTAAAATACCATTAAAAATGGGTTTATTGCTGAGGTTTTGGGCCAGAGATGTATTGAAACATTATTATTATTACTACAAGGCAGCTAACCCAAAATTTGATTTTATAATCACCTTTTTCCAGATCACAAATGAACGGCAGGTACCAACAGAAAAACCGCACTACCTCGCAGAATACCTACACCAAAAAAAGTTCCTCTTTTCCCAACATGAAACACAATCACCACCCGTGGAACACTCACAGGCATTCCGTTGGAAGCCTTACCCTACAGAACCAGCTATTCTCCCCCTCCCCGCAACCCCCAACGACGAACCAGAACTGTGTAGGCCACGATCGACCCAGAAAACCGCGCGGAGACTGCAGTGTTAGTATCAACCACTTCAACCTCAAGGAATTCAAGATGAAACAGGAGCAGATCGCAATCCGATCGGCAGACATTGAGAGCAGCCTTGAATCGCTGTGCATTCAGATGATGGAACACGCACTGGGTCCTTAGTGTGTAACATTGGGTTTTCAGTTATGCGAACTGTCAGTTTGGAGGTAGAGATTTTGATATTTTTGGTCTGTGTATGCTCGAGTGCTTATTTGTCAAGAATCGGTTTGTTGTCTCCTTTCTGAGTTCAGTTTAAATAGCTGTGTAACCTCTGTCAGATATTTTGTTCAATTTCTTGCCAAATAACAAATATAGAGGCAACACAAAACCATCCTTTTGTAACTTTCAATAGATAATGAAAACCCAATAACAATTTTAGTTCATTTCAAAGTTATGAATGATCTAGAGGATACTATTATTATTATCATCATCATCATCGTTAACATTAAAGCTACCTCTTGAAGTTCTTACAATTCCTTTATTTTTCACTATAGAATCTTCAGTACCGCATTTAGGATGGTAATAAATCATAAGAAATGGGAATTTTCATGAAAAATCTTACAGTTTGTTTACTAACCTTTATCAAACGGAAGATTTTGAGTTTAGTGATTTTAAAAAAATTATTGACTGGTATTGCAAGAGTTTTAATGCAAGAAAAGACAAAATAATCAAGTTCTAATTAACAAACTAAACGATTGATGGATTTGGAAACAATGTCTGAAATTGCCCCCGATTGACTGTGAGATATTCAACTCAGTTTCTGTGAAACACAAGGATTATTACCACTGGAGTATGTATATATAAACATAATCAATGCAGGGATTCTCTTCCATTGGAGCTTCATGGACAGAGATTTGGAAAATACTATATGTTCAACAATTTTTATTTTTTGTATCGCAACAAAACCTTTTTCATCATCAACTTTTTAATTTTTTCCTCTTGAACTAGCGATTTCAGAGTGATCTGGAGAAATAACTTGCCTTAACAACATTTTCGATTTTCAAAAGACGTTCGTTATAACCAGTTTGTCTTTCTTTTTCACTTTCATCTTTTTCTTTTAAATTTGTGAGTGACCTTGACGTGATGATTTCAAATTGATTTGGAGAGTCATCTCGGAAAATAACCAACATCTTTCATTTTTATAATACTTTGTAGAGTGAAACAAAATTAATTTTTATTTTCATTATTCCAAATTTTGAAGAATTCTAATTGATGCTGAAAGTGATCTGGGTGAATAACTTGTTTCAACATCTGAAATTGAAAAAAAAATCAGAGAAATGATGTTGCTTTTTCTTATTTTCACCTGTTTTTAATCTTACAAGTGTTTTCGACTTGATGATTCATATTGCCAATTCTATTTCATCTGCATCTTCATCATCTTACATCGATTCTTCAACAGGCAACTGGATCCAATAATTTTGGGGCCCTGTTGTGTAACAGCACGTTTAAATCAGGTACCTGAAAGCTGGAAAAAATCATACGAAGTTGAAAATTTGAACTGAACTGAAATGTTGGACAAGTTATTAAATAGATGAATAGAAAATAAAAATTGAAATCAAAAAGAGCACGTGGAACAATATAAAAAGATTAAATTAAAAAAGCTGTCAAAAAATTGTCCTTTAAGGTGAAAAAATAAGAAATGAGGGATAAAAAAATTAAATTACACAACTGGAAACAAGTGGTTTTTGTTTTTTGATTAATGAATGAGTTCCTTTTGACTTTTTCATTATTCTTCCAAAAGAAAAAAGAATTATATAGAAAAATATTTGATGTTTTATAAATTCATGTTTTAAATAGAGAAGTGAACTTCTTTTGTCTGAAAGCAAGATTGACTTTGACGCCAAAATTAATGAAGCGAGCATGAGACACAATGTTACAATATAAAAAGTCGAAACGAAAAATTCAGCTGGAAAAAATAACTATTCTGAAAAGTTGAATTCTTAAGAAAACTGAAACATTTCTGTTTTTGTATCGTCTTCTAGTACGAAATACAGAGAAGATGGTAGTTACAAATAATTGTTTTGAAACATTAACTTGCATTTTTCTCTTATACTTTTTAATTTTTTTATTATCCGTTCATCCACATCATCAACAATATTTTCTCTGTTCAGCTTTGAATTTAATTCTTTAAATTTCAGCTTTTTTATTTCTATTTTTTTATACTTTTGATGTCGCTTTACATTTTTCATTCCATTTCAAGCTTATTTCTCTTTTCACATCTTTTCAACAACTCTTGACACAATAATACTTGAGACAGAAATAAAAAATATATTTAGGGATAGTACAAGAGAGCAACGAGAGTTTATAACGCCAAACGACAGTTCGCATAATATACAAAATTATGTTGGGAGAGAAGAACACTTGACAAGCCAGATGTCTGAAAAGGGTGTATTTTTTAAGTTTTTTCGTATATTTATGCTTTACTATACTCACCTACGAGCGTGATGATTTTGTTTTATATAGTTTACATAAAAGTTTTTATTTACTTGGACTATTTTATGACAAGTTTTGTGCTCAAAGCACACTTATTATTTTAAGAAACTTATATTTTTACTGCTGGCAGGTACTTTTTTAATAATTTCCTTTTTAAAATGGAATATTTTATCATGGTCACGGAATAACCCAACGTTTCCTCCGAGCCATTTAATATCAGACTTAGTCTCGCTGACAACTTGTCTGAGATTTGCGTGAAACATGATATTTTGAACGGAATTTAAATTTTGTAATGAAAAGTTGGATTATTTCAAAGATGTATGTGATATGTTGAGTGTTTTGATAAGTTTAAGACTGTAATGCTGTTTTTATCAATTTTAATTTTGAATGTTACTGACGACTTTCCAGACATGAATGAGTAATAATTGTGAAGCTCAGGCCCCCTTTTACTGCTGCTATCTGCAGAGCCTTGTTGCCTGAAGATATCGGAAACTCGTTTTGGTATTAAAACGAAGTTCATCGGTGCAGATATGCAGCAGAAGTATTGTTTTATTTTGTAGAGTTATGTGCAATCTACCTTCTAGTTCAAATAGCATAAATTCGTGAAATAGTACATTTTGTGATTGTCTGTGTGATAATGTTTGACAATTGTTTTAAACTGATGATGCAAAAGACTGATTCCATCTACTAAATAGAGATGATATGATAATTGAATTGTGTTTCATTTATTTTTGGGTATTTGAAATGTTTTTGAAGCTTTTTTTAACAACTAATTTACAACTTGCAAGCAACCCTCAAAAGTTTTCAGGAGGCTTAGGTCTCTTATCTGTTCCACTCACACAATTTTGTGGTGAGCAGAAAAATCCATACTTGGTTTCAGAATTTTTTGTATAACAGAAAACAATATGTGTACATAGAAAATCAACAGGGCACAACTAAGAGGATATCTTGCGGAGTTCCCTAAGGATCTAGTCTGGGTCCCCTACTGTTCCTCATCTATATTAATTCAATGGCACAGTTGAAACTTTACGGAAAACCTCTGTTATTTGCAGATGACACAAACCGTATATATTCTCAACCGATTTTATAAACACTCAAGGGGTTTGAAGAAAATTATAAAATTGGTTGGACTAACACTAATTAACGTTGAGGCACTTGTTACTCCAGTATACAAAGCAGGAAAACTTAATTTCCTTGGGAACTATAGACCAATATTGATAATAAATAACTTCATGAAGCTAAAAACAAGGCTGATGAGTTTGTTTACGAACATTTGGGTTATAACAAAAAAGCAGTATGGTTTCATCAGTAATTCCAGTACTGAGTGTGCTATACTGGATCTAATTGAGAAAACTGGGAACGCTTTGAATAAGTCTGAAAAATTTAAAAATTTTCCTTGATCTTGCCAAACCGTTCAATACTGTAGCACATGCAACATTATTAAATAAATTATATCAGTATTGTGTATGAAGACCAACTTTCCATTTACTTCAGAAATATCTAGATCACAGAAAACAAACGGAAGTAATAAACTACTTGAAATCAAGTATAAATCTGTTTAAAATCTATTTTTCCGTTGATCAGCTGCCGCCCCCATACGAACGACAACTCTCAGAAGTTGAGAAACTTGTGCGAGCTAAGGACTAACGAGGTCCTACCTTTTAACGTGTGATTCCTAACACGGTAACGGATAAAGCCAACAACCATTTTGAATAAAGCTGAAATTAACTGTTATCACAGTGAAATTAACAAAAATAGTAAAACATCCAAAGAATTATGGAGTTGTATTTAAAAAATATGTAATGAAACTGAAAATCATAAATATCATCAAAATTACTAATGGCGTAACTACAACAGATACAAAATTTATGACTAATTAATTTATAAATTATTATTCTAAAGTTGTAGAGAACTTAGCAGGAAAAATAAAAAAGACGGTGGGGTGGGTACAAACACATTAAAAATATATGTGAATTCCTTTCATATGGAAAAAACAAATCTGAATTTGAAAATGTAATTCATAGTTTGAAACTCAGAAAATCATCTGGATATGATGGAATAACTTCTGAAGTTGTGAAAATATTGAAAGATCTGATTTCAGAACCTTTAGTGCATTTAAAAAATATGATTTTCAATACTGGAATATGCCCTGATGCTTTCAAAATTGGAATAATTGAGCCGGTTTACAAAAATGGTGATAAGAATGAAATGAAGAATTATCGGCTTATCACATTGATATCTAGTTCATCAAAAATATATGAAAAAATCCTCAAGTATAGAATTGAAAAATATTTAGATAAAATCCATTTTTTCTCAAATACTCAATTCGGATTCAGAAAATTCAATTTGTCACATAGTAAATAATGTATATTAATCAACTTTATCTGTTTTTCTTGATTTAGCTAAAGCTTTTGATACGGCCAGCCGTTCAATACTTTTGGAAAAATTACAAGCAATTGGATTTTACATTTCATCGACTATATTTCTGCAAAATTTTATTTAATTCATATATTGTTATTAAGCACATATTTTGAATTTGTATATTCATTTGTTATTTTCTTTTTTTCACATAATGTGTATACATTTGGTTTTTTTTTCACATATGTTCATATACAAAGTATATGAACATATTATGTGAGATTGTATTCATAAAGATGTATCTGTTTTTATGACTTACCTTGGCACAAGTTTCACTTCTCAAGGTTATTATTAGTTTATTTAGAAGTTTAATTGTGTATTATTTCTGATGAATATATCATAAAATGTCATGAATAAACTATTATTGTTATTATTAATATTTAAGTTGACAATTATCAAACCACTTCAAGGGAGATCACTACGGGGATATCTCAAGGAACGGTCTTTGGTCCAATACTGTTTCTTGTTTATATACGTGGACTGTTCAAAAACTGAGGTGAATGTTCAAATTTCGCGGGCTACGTATATTCAATTGGCGATTTTTTCATGTTGGGTCACTTGTATCTAACAAATATTCACAGTTTCAGCATTTTAGCATGTTCAATTTGTTAGTGAGAGGCATAAAAGTTGAAAGTGTTTCGTGTGTTCAGCGATTTTCTGCTATCGACAAAGATTTATCTAAGAATTTGTTCAAAATTTTGTGTAAAAATGGAATTGAGTTCCCAAAAATTTCTGAAATGATGATAGTGGCATACTGCGATTGTACTCTGAGTAAGAAAAATGTACACAAGTGATACAGAAGGTCGAAAAGATGTGAATGACGACGCTCGCCCTGGGAGCCCCAGTACATCAACAACCGATGAAAATGTTGAGAAAGTGAAGAAAATTGTTATGGAGAATCGTTGAATTACTCTTAGAGGAGTTGCTGAGTATATCGGCATATCGGTTGACTCATGCCATGCAATTTTTTCTTAAATTTTGCTGAATTGCTGAATTTTGACAAAGAAACTGTCGTCGCATGAGCATCGCACAGGAATTGTTTAATGACGTCAATGACGATCCAGATTTGCTTAAAAGGGTTATAACTGGTGACGAATCATGGGTATATGATTATGACATCGAAACCCTTTTTAGGTACCGAAGTCAAAAATTAGGTGCTCTGTAACTTTCACCGCAACTCAATACTCAAAGTTGCGTTGCTAGCATTATGTGATGCTAGCAACGCAATGAAAATAATAATAAAATAATGAATGTTAAGGAAACACTAGTAGGTGCTAATTAAGTGCTGAACGGTGAGGATCGTAAAATTTTCTAATAAATAAACAAAAGTTTCCAATTTCGCTAAACAGCAGATTAAAGAATCAGGTCTCTCGAAAACTAGGACGAATGCTCTATCAGGTATAAACTAAGCGTGCTAATTAAGTGCTAATTAGATGATTGTAAGAAATTAAGATGAAAACGACCGCGAATAAGCGAAAAAAAAAATTCGAGATACCTGATTTGAGAAAAAAAATTAATAATATGCAATAAAGTCTTGAGATACCCGTAAACTAATACATAGACAATCAAAATAAAGTGCTAATTAAGTGCTCACTAGATATTCATAGTAAAACTAGATTCTTTAATGTTTATGGGGCTCATAGACCTGAAAACCACCATGACTGATGTACTGAGTTTTTATAGTACGTTATTTAATAAATAAGGGCAAGAAATTGAAGTGCTAATTAGGTGCTCACTAGATAAATAATAGTAAACCTAGATTCCATGATGCCTATGGTGCATTATGACTGATGTTCTTACAATACGTTCCTCGATAAGTAAGGATATGAGAATAAAGTGCTAATTAGGTGCTCATTAGATATTTATAGTAAATCTAGATTCCATAATTCATCATTCATCACATAATGCTAGCAACGCAACTTTGGGTATTGAGTTGCGGTGTAAGTTACAGAGCACCTAATTTTTGAAGTTGTGCGCTTCTTGCGGGAAGCACTACGAATAAAACCGGTATTTGGCCAAAAACAACCTATAGTCATTGCTCAGCCACTGTATTCACCAGAATTTGCCCTCTGTGACTCATTCCTGTTCTCAAGTTTCAAGAGACCTATGAAAGGACGGCGTTTTGCGACGAATAAGGAGATAAAAACCGAGCTCAAGACATACCAAAAAGTGTATAACAGACAGCGTGAATAGTATCGGTTAAATTCATAATTTTGAGTGCACTTGATATCTTACGCAGATGACACAGATATCTTTGTTACGGGTGACGCGTGGGAAAAGTATTATGTGACGTCTCATCCTTTGATACGGGGAGTCCTTTTTGTGAACTCCTTGGTGTTTGTTCTCAAGTTACTTATGGCCGCATTTTTGAGAGTATATGATGAGTATGGCACTCAGTTAGTTGGGTGAAACATTGAACACTAATAACTCCAATAACGGGAAATTGACAAACAATAAAAATGATGAATAGTTGAAGAAATTGCTCACTAATAATTCAAAAATCACAAATAAAACTAGAAGAATTCAGTTTAAATCGGTATATAATCAACTAGTCCGAACAAACGGGTTCAATTCATGAATTTTCTATTAGTTAAACAATAGGTCTTTGTAGAAAAATAGGTTGCTGAATAATGTTGAATTCTCAGTTGTATGAAAGCTAATGGTTTATTTATTCGTTCTGTTCGTGGTGGCTATTGAAGTTTTTGAAACTTTCAAAAGCATTTAAAAATATGTTAACCGCTGATGTAAATTCAAAATGATGATGACAGTGGTGTATCCTGTGAAGTTCTGCTAACAATTTTACATATAGACAGTAGTTTCTAATTTAACGAACCTATTAGTAAACTATGTGTTGAAAACTCTTTTTCTGGGTGCTATGTCAACAGGGTTATAACTAAAGAAGTTGATTTTGCAGTTGCAAAACTGCATACTATGCGTTATTCGAATCACACATGAGCAACTTTTTTTTTGAAGCGCATTAAAAAAAATCTATGAAAATGTTACAGATGCTCCAAAAAGGGTCAGTAGGGTACTTTACAGAACTAGAAAGACATATTCATGCAAATAGTATATTGAATTTTATCAGATCCTCACGATTATCTGTTATCTCTATATTAATTTCGAAAATTTATGTCTTGATATATAATCACCATAATCGCAATGAAATTATGTCATCCGACAACCCACCTGATACTCCCAATCAGAAATAATAAATTACTCAAACGCCTATATGCTTGATCTTATGTGACCTGGACCTGGAAGCAGTTTCAGATAACAACACTTAAATTAGGCAGTGA